CACGACGCCCGCCTCGAAGTACGCGACGGTGGTGGACAGCGGTCGGGGATACGTGGTGGCCGGTGGTAAGTGCCTCGACGTGGCGTCTCCGTATTCCGTCTCGCCGACCGGCGCTGTAACCATCCAGCCGATAGTGATGGCGTCGCACTCGCCGTCCATTATAGGTGACATGACTCATAACAAACTAGTGGTGACAGGTGGTAAGACGAGTTCAAAGCACTCGCCGTCAATGGACGGAATGTCTTCGTCCAACTCGGCAGGATCTTCGCCGGCAGCGACTACCGCAAATGGCCTCATCACGCCCAAGCTGGAAGACATCAAGACAGAAGTGAGTTTACTGCAGTCGGGAAGTCCGCCGTCTCACCATCAGCTCACCAGCCACCACATGAACAACCAGCAGGTGGTGCAGACCGCCGCCACTCCAACTGCCATCCTCCCTCACCACTACTCGCCCCCCGCAGCGGCAACCGACGTCCCGCGCCAGACAGTTCTGATGTGGGGTAGCGGAGGCACCACGACACTCAACCACGCGGCCTCGTCTGGCAGTAGCAGCAGGTCGCCGCCCCCGAACGCGATCGTCAACTCCGTGTCCTCCAACCCCGGCACGCCCGTAGTCACTACCCTCTCGAATGGGACGCCCACGTCTTACGGCGTCCACCCTCAGCCAGACGCGAGTCCCGTCGGCAAGAAGTACAACAGTTCTGGCGCTGATCCGCTCAAGTCTCTGGCAGAAATGAATTCGATGGGTAGTGGCGAGTGGACGAAGCCAGAGCCAGTGTCCTCGGTGTCCCCCTCCCACCCCGCTAGCAGCCCGGCGCTTAGCGCCAAGTCCTACCATCACCATCACCAGCACCACCAAGTGGTGACGTCCCATCACCACCATCACCACCAGCACAGCGGCGGACTGGCGTACAGTGAGACTGGTGCCGGGAGCGAGGTATGGCCTGTACATCACCAGTATCACCAGTACTATCCTTACACCACTCCGTATCACCACCACGCACCCCAGTGAGTGAAACAAACACTTTTTATTTTATCTTCTTTAACAATTAGAAATTTAAGGCAGAGAGAGAGACGCGTCCAAAAATCAAAAATTCGCATGCTGTGCTCTGACATTTGGACGGTCTCTGGTTTTGTAGTGCATGAGACGATCAGCACTAAAGTCGTAGCGCTTCTTCTAAAATATGTTGCTTTTCATTGCCTTTTTCTTTCAAGACACTTCACTAATCAAAAAATAGTTGCATGCTCCATCGTAACTAGTATCGATAATCTTATCGATAGTCTTATTACAAAAATACGTGCTTTATGTAGCAGAATTCACCGCTTCTATTTATATATTTTTTTCATTAGACTAAGTAAATGTGTAAACGGTGTTACAAAGAGCAAAATTAATTATGCAGCAGAATTCACTGGGTATAAATGACTTAAAGAAGTTGAAATAGGTGGCTATATGCTCCTATTACACGTCTTACTGCAACTCTTGATTGATTAGTGTCATAAAATAACGAATAACAAATTTGTTTTGTCTGGAATAATCACCACGTCTTTGAAAGTTCTGAAAAAGTGGCAGAAATTTTTAAAATTAATATACACACCACGCCAATAGAAACAATCACATATTCGTAATTGTTAGTAAAACAAACATGGCTGCCGTACGAACTTGTAACGTGGCAGCGACACTAGCGCCATTTAGTATAGGATCCGTGAATTTATCGTAGGGAAGCTTTTCATGTTTCGGTAAAGGAATTTTCTTTTTGGTATAACAACAGCAAGACATAAGCTTGAATTCTTCATTTGTCTGTTATTTTATGGGAATAACTATTCAGCCGTTGAAGCTACGAAAGAGAAATTGTTATAGAACAGATAAGACATACCTACAAATGCCTACGTGGCGAAAAGTGGGACAGCTTTTATAACAACGTATTCTCAGCTTCGTGTCAGATGAATTTTACATAAATTCGTGAAGAATTATGAATGTTTTCTTTTTTTAGATTAATAAGGGTGCGTAAAA